GTGCCCAGGTCTGGAGAGCAGGGCAAGAAGAAGCACGTGTGCCACATCCCGGACTGCGGCAAGACCTTCCGGAAGACGTCGCTGCTGCGGGCCCACGTGCGCCTGCACACAGGCGAGCGGCCCTTCGTGTGCAACTGGTTCTTCTGCGGGAAGAGGTTCACGCGCAGCGACGAGCTGCAGAGGCACGCGCGCACGCACACAGGTCAGCGGGCCCTCCGGCTCCTTGTCCGCCTTGCTGGCTCCACCCGGGCTGCCCTCGACTGCTCCTTACCTCATTACTCATCCCGAGTGTTTCATTTTTTCTTCATTCCTTTATGTTTTAAGCGGTTTTATTTTTGGTGTCAGGTTTGACTTCCTAGTTCCGTGTTTAAGACACTGGCAGAGAAATGTGGCACATGGGCGACACTGCAGAGGCCCTGGAGTCCCCGGTGGCCCCGATGCAGCTTTGGGAAGCGCCGCTCTCGCGCGTGGCCCAGGGAGCAGGCCAGGGCCGTGGGACAGGACGAGAGCCGACCCTGCCCTAGTACAGGACTGGCTGGGGGCCAGCTCGGGGCGGGGGCGTCGGGGCAGGGACACAGGTCAGGACAAAGCGGCCAGGCGCGGGAAGGGGCTGGGTGCGGGGCTGTTGGCAGAGGGGGCCTCAGAGGGCGGACCAGGCAAGAAAGGGGGCTTCAGGTCGGTGAGCAGGAGGCAGCACCCCAGGCGATGAGTTGGCGATGGCTGCGTGGGTGACAGCACTCTCCTCTCTTCAGGGGACAAGCGCTTCGAGTGCGCCCAGTGTCAGAAGCGCTTCATGCGGAGCGACCACCTCACCAAGCATTATAAGACCCACCTGGTCACCAAGAACTTGTGAGGCCAGCGAGCGGGAGGCCCTGCAGACTCGGACCCCGGTGCCCCCAGTCCCGCGGGCCCGGCTCCTGCGGGTGGCCGAGTCCCCACAGGAAGGGGCTGTGCACCTGCGCTCACCTTCTCACGCAGGGCTCCGGCCGCCCAGCCCTGCCCTGCCCAGCGAGGCCCTGCCCAGTGAGACGTTCTAACCCAGGACGCGTGGGACCCTTATTTCCAAAGGAAAACGTGCATTTCACTCCGTCGAGGAGCAAAGTGAGCCCCCTCCACCTGCCCCACTCCCTGCCCAGCACTGCCGGGGTCCCGTCGTGCCATAGCCCCCGCCCCACCCCAGCCACCAGGGATGTCCCAGGGCCCCGCAGCCTCCCCAGCGGCCACCCAGGGGCCGCCCCAGACATTCCACCTTGCAGTCAGGGTCGGTGCTGCGGGCCGCCCCTCTCTGCGGAGAACGTTGCCTTATACTTTCCTTCTGATGATGAGCACTGTGTATTGTGTTCGCTTTAACAAGTTTTATTTAATTGCTCCCTTGGTCCCCTTCTTGGTCATCAGCTCCTGTGCCTGCTTTCCGTTCGGGTTTCGGGGGCAGCCATGAGGGTATGAACTCCCTCATCCCGAGTGACACTGCATTTCCCCCGGCCCCACCCACCTGGCGGTGTACAGTGTATATTGTATAATAGACAACTGCGTCTACTACATGTTTTAAAAACATATTGCTTGTTATTTTTGAGGCTTTTAAATTAAACAAAAAATCCAACTTTATTTTTAGTTGTAACTGCTTGAGGTATGTTTTATGAAGTAAGTGACAGATTTGTTATCCTTTATTAACAATGGACAACTTTGTTGGTCGGTGCTGGGCTGACAAAAAATTTCTTGCTAATAAATTTAGTTGCCTGAGGCAAAATCTGCACCTCAGCAGTTGAACTTCCTGTCTGTCACCTTGGAGCGTGCAGACCTCAACCTGCTGTGCTGAGGCTGGGAGTTGGGGGAAAACGCGGTTCCCAAGGAGCAGGGCTGCTGCCACTTCCTCTGCCCCTCTCTCCTTGCCCACCCCCACTCCAGGTCCAGCGAGGCCTGAGACCTGAGGTTTTGCTGGGGATTTTTTTTGTTTGTTTTTTTGAGAGAGGGTCTCACTCTGTAGTTGAGACTGCCCTGGAACTCACTGTGTAGCCCAGGCTGGTCTCGAACTCACAGCGATCCTCCTGCCTCAGCCTCCTGAGTGCTGGGATGACAAGTGTGCACCACCACACTGGGCCTGCTAGGGGTTTTCTTTTTGGCAGAGCTCACAGGAAGTTGGGCTGTAGGAGCTGTGTAAACTAAGGCGGAGCCTCCTAGGGCTGCTCCGGGCGACAGAGCAGGGCAGCTGGTTCCTCCCCAGAGCTCCAGGGCAGCAGCACCTTCTGTGTTCTGCGTGTCTGTCTGTCGCGTCCTTAGCCCTTCCTGTGTTGCCAGCCACTTGCTGTGCTGGCAAACAGCTCTTCACACTGAGGCTCGGAGCCTGAGACCCTCACACAGCTGATGAGATCAAAAGGACACAGGTCTCAGGTACAGCCAGGGGTTTCTGCCCTTCATCACTTGTCCGTGGGCAGGAAGATCTTTCCTGCCCCCGGGCAATACCGGACCAGACACGCCTGTCATCCCAGCACTCAGGAGGCTGAAGCAGGAGGCTGGCTGCAAATTCAAGGCCAGCCTGGGCTACACGGTGAGTTTAAGGCTCTGTCTCATCAAAAAATTCTAGAGCAGCTGAAGGGTTCTTGGTTTAGAGGCCTCTCCATCAGCCCATGGGCCCCAGGTCTTGGGGCTGCCCTGGCAGCCGGAGGGGCCTCTGTCTACACATCCCTTGGCTTTGCTGTCAGGCACAAAGGGCGATCTTTCCCGGGTGCTGCCCCAAGACCAGTACTTCCTGCTTCCCAGGTGGAAACATTGTCTCCTCACACCCTGCACAGGTGAAGGTGCTGGGTGTGTGAGCAGGGCTCTCCCTTCCCCGGGGAGCCCGAGGTGGAGGCAGGGAGGGCGAAGACTAGGAAGACTGGAGCAGACTGGGCCCTGTCTGGCTCTATTCCGAGTCCTTTATCCAGGAGACCACAGGGACTGGGGCTTTGAGCCTAGGAGACTTCAGGGCCCTGAGTGGCCCCCAGTGACAATCCAGGTGTGGTCGCTGGTTCTTTCCAGAGCCACCTGTACCCAGGCCACCCCTCAAGCCCTGCTGCAGTGGTGGAGTAGCTCCAGGCAGCCACTGGGGCTGAAGAAACAGCTGTAGATGATTTAGATTCTCAATAAAAATGATACCTAAGGGCCCCGATATGCCGCAGTGGCACTGTGCCTGCCTCACAAGTACAAGGTCCTGAGCTCAATCCTCCGAATTTAAAAAAAAAAAAAATGCCTGACATGATGTCGCACAGCAGGAATCCTAGCATTCTGAGGCAGGAGGGTTAGTTACAAGCTTGACCCCAACTCAGACAACTTAGTGACTTAGGGACTGTCTCAAAATTAAAAATTTATAAAGGGCCAGGGATGTAGCTCAGTGCGAAGTCCCCATGTTTAATCCCATCCCTAGTTTGAAAAAAAATTTTTTTGTTGGTACCGGGACCTTGCACTTGCAAGGCGGGTAGAGGAAGTACCGAGCTAAATCCCTAGATCTGAAAAAAAAAAAAAAAAAAAAAAATTAAACTGAGCAAAAATGGGACCAGGGATGTAGCTCAGCTCAGCACCTGCCTGGCAAGCACGAGGACCTGAGTTCAATTCCCAAAATTGAACAAAAATGAAGTCCTCTTCTCCCTGCTTCCTAAGACCTGGTCTGTTCTTAGTCTGCACCCCCTTTCCAAGCAGTGGTCTGGGAGCCTCCTTTCCTGTTCAGCTCATGGGGGCCCCTCCCCAAGAGGCAGCCTGCTTACTCCTCAGAATTTCAGACTCCCGGTTACCTTTTCTTTTCTTTTCTTTTCTTTTCTTTTTTTTTTTTTTTTTTTTTTTTTTTTTTTTTTTTTTTATTGGGACCGGGAATTGAACTCCAGTCCTTGCGCTTGCGAGGCAGGCGGCGGAACCACTGGGTTATAAATCCCTGGCCCCCCCGTCACCTCTTCTTGGGGTGCACTGAAGCCCCCCAGCTGCGGGGGTGGACTTCCTTTCCGGCACCCATATATTTCAACGAAGTGCTGTCCCTGACTGTCAGAGCTCATGGGGACCAGAAGCGAAAGTGTCCTAATAAACCTAACACTGCCCAAGGGTGAAGTACTGGGCAGTGTGTGACCGCAGGATTGGGGCACAGCTCCCACCAAGTGGGGGTACCAACTTGGCTTCTGGAAGGTGTTGGTCTGCAAGAATGCCAATTCTGATTTCTGTAAGAGGAGCCAGAAATGTGGGCTGCAGTGGATCCTGAACATCCCCCAGAATCCCTGAGTTGAAAGCTTGGACCCAACCCAAGATGCAGGGAGATGGGGTGGGCCTGGTACTTCAGTGGAGTCTCCTGGAAGAAACTACTGGGCCCCTGGGGCCGCTCCTGCGATTCCGCACAGGACTGAAACCAAGAGAGCCAGCCATGGACTGCATCTGCAAAACCGAGAGCCCAAAGAAACCTTTCCTTTGGTGTGTTTGTCTCTGTGTGTGTGCGTGCGCCAGCGCCTCACTGTGCAGTCCAGGTTAGCCTTGAACTCACTGGATAGCCTCAGCTGGCCTTGAACTTGCAAGGTGATCTTCCTCCTGCCTCAGCCTCCTGAGCCCTGGGGTGACAGGCACGCACCAGCACGCCCAGCCCTCTTTGCAAATTGATCGTCTCAGGCATCTGTGTTACACTAACAGAAAGGAACCACCATGGTCACGGGATCCTAGAATCTATAGGAACCACAGCGATCACAGGACAGGGGCAGTGAGTTTTGGCAAACACAAAGCTGCTAGTCTGAGGACTGAGACTGATGTCACTCAGCCTTTTGTTTCTGTTTTTGTTTGAGGCCTTGACAAAGGGATCCTCCTGCCTCAACTTCAGTGCCGGAATTAAAAGCACCACCCCTGGCTTTCACTCAGCCTTTGAAAGTTTAACATTTTGTCTCCATGCTGACACCACGTGTAAATGAAAAGAACCCTACACCCCTCTCACCAAGCCCAGTACTCAAGGTACAGAGAAGATTCATAACACAAGCACAGTCACAAGAGACCAGCATTTCCTGCGCACACCCTGCTGGCGGGGGTCTTGAGCTGAGCAGCAGGAAGTGAGGGGCATAGTCTGTCCTGTGAGGAGGCTCCAGCTCTGCTGGGGAGGGGCAGCCACAGCTGTGCACACTGCAGTCTGCTGGGGAGCCCTTCGGGGAACAGAGGGTCAGACACAGGGTCCCCTGCCGCCACAGACAGGGCTGGGCCCCAGCTTGCCTCTGGCTGCAGTAACCTGTTCAGAGCTACGGCACCTGTGTCCTGCTCCTGCCACCACCCGGGCCCCAGGCCGGAGTTCACCCCAATACTAAGAACTCCTGAGCTGCAGGCCCCAGCACACCCACCCTTGGCTGCCATCACCGCCCCCCACCACCGCGGCCCCCTAAATCAGTCCCAGCCCTCCGTACCCCACCCAATATTCCTGCGTCAGCATCCCCAGCCCGGGTCCCACTGAGACTCCGCAGCAGCATGGCCAAATCTCTGCCAGTGGTCCCACCCCCCTCACCTGTCATGCACTGCGTCACCATACACAAACTCAATCACAAGCATGAAATACGGAATTGTACAAGCCCATCAGATAATTAGATGAATAGGTGGCTTAAAAAAATAAAACATGAAAAGCATTGGAAGAAAACAGGCAAAGCATTGTCTCTGAACATACGCAGACTTTGGTTTCATATCAAGGAACCAGTATAACTCTGTAAGATAAAAATTTGTAATATCTTCATGTAAGCTCTTTTTTCAGACAGGGTCTCAGTCTAATTCAGGATTGCCTTGAACTTACTGTGTAGCCCAGGCTGGCCTTGAACTTGTGGTAATCCTCCTGCCTCAGCCTCCCAAGTGCTGGGATTTTAGGTGTGTGCACCACTCCTGGCTCATGTAAACCTTTCTTGAGGAAATATTAGCAGTACTACAAAGTTGAGGAATGGGTTCACCAAGTGTTAGGAAAAAGTTCCAGGGTCATCTCAAGGCCAACTGGGACTACACAGTGAGTTCAAGGCCAGCCTAAACCACATAGTGAGACCTTGTCTCAATAACAAGAAAGAGAGAGAGAGAGAGAGAGAGAGAGAGAGAGAGAGAGAGAGAGAGAAGAAAAGAAAAGAAAAGAAAAGAAAAGAAAAGAAAAGAAAAGAAAAGAAAAGAAAAAAGAAAGAAAAAGAAAGAAAGAAAGAAAGCAGTTCCACTCAACAAATTCATTTCTCCCACTGGGAAGCCCTTCCGGGACAGCAGAGACAGCAGGCCACGCTGCAGGGCTACTCTGTGACTTCAACACCAGATCCAACCACGCAGAAAAGCACAGCACAAATGCACTCATCTTCACAAGAGGGGGTCAGCTGCAAACTTCCTGTCACTGCTAGGCAAGGGAAAGGCTGCCAGAATCTAGCACTTTTTTTTTTTCTTCCTTTTCTTATCTTTAAAAGTCCTAGATTCCGACTCCTCAGTGTCACAGGAGGAACATTCGAATCACTGCGTCCTTCGACCTGGCCCTCGCCACCTTGGCCGACTCCATGGGTCTTTACGGAGGAGGCCGGTGAGCGGGCCGGTGAGCGGCAGCGACCCAGCGCTCCAGTTCTCCCCTCCCCGTGACGCCCGGCCCATTGTCGTGGGCACACTCTGGAGAACACACCCAGGTCCTTCGCGTCTGCCCTGTTGGCCTTGCTCCCCTTCACCTCACACATCTGTTCAGACTCTCAACTCTCTAGCCTGTTTCTCCGCCGCCCCGTGGACTGCCAGACCCTGGTGGCCAGGGACCGTGTCCTGGTCTTCACTTTAGGATTCTCAGATTAGGACAAGTGCCTGACCCTGTGCAGATCTTTAACAGACAGATGTCTGCTCAGTGAGTATTTGAACACGTACCACTCACTCTACTGAGCTCTTGGGGGAGGGTTGTTTTTGTTTTTTTGTCAGAGTCTTCCTATGTAGTTCAGCCTGGCGTTGGACTCAGAGACCATCCTGCCTCAGCCTCCTGAGTGCTGGGATTAAGGGCCTGCGCTACCACCCCTGGTGAAGTCCTGGCTTTTAAATAAGCTGCTCAAATGATGGTAATCTTATTGTCTTTAGAATAAAGGTTCAGGGTAGCGGGAACCCAAGGGGCATGAGGGGCGTGGCCCCATGAAGGCACTAATTACTGCTCACACAGGTTCAGCTACATGGGTCGGGAGGAGTGGAGGACAGAGAGTCACTCGTGGGACGTCAACTTCAACCAGAAAGCAAGTCCAGCCAACCTCCACCACGCAGATGGAAGAAAACCACGGTGGCGGCAGCAATCAGCTGTCTGTCCCTTCCTGAACCCGGGGCACTGTCACCTCCCATGGACCGGCCACTTAGTACTCACCACTGGCCTAAGCAGGGCCTCCTCCCCTGTCCCGGCCGGCCGGGCTGCCGCGGTCCCTACGCCTGTAACACACCTCCACGTGCTTGTTAACGGCGGTGACAGCGTTTTCTTGGAGCTCCGCTCCCACCCCCGGAGGCGCTCCCCATTGGTCACCGAACTCTTCTGTCTGCTCTCTAATTGGTCACGCTCTCGGAAAATCTAACCAATGACCTCTCCGTGTTTGTCTCTCTCCCCCATTTCCGAAAGCCCATTGGTTCCGAGGATTCAGATCTGTTAGCCTGCGGGGGCCCCAGGCAAATCCTTCCTTCCGGGTTTGGACGCTCGGGCTGTGACTTTGGTTCCGAACCCAGCGGGACCGGGTCCGGGTGGCGCCGGGCTCACGTGACCGGCGGCTCGCATGACCCGCGGGCTGCGGGGCATCACGGGGACGTTCCAGGTGTGGCCAGGGGACCTCCGCCAGCTGTGTGCTGTCATGGACCTGGGGCCCATGCGCAAGAGTTACCGTGGGGACCGAGAGGTGCGGCCGGGGCCCGGGTCACCTGCGAGGAGCGGGGAGGGCCGCGGCTTCAGGGCCACCGCGGGGATCCGGGGCCTGGGTCACCTGGTTGGGAGGGTGGGGATCAAGGCACAGCGGTCCAGGGTGGGTTCCGGTTAGCAAGAACCCTGGGTTGGAATCCAGCCATTGAGTGGCTGTGTCCCTTGTGCAGTGCACTGACTGGCTGGGCCTCCCTCTCCCACGAGGATGCTGGCGACTTAGATATTTGTTTTGGGTTTTTGTTTGGTTGTTTGGTGTTTTTTTTTTTTTTTTTTGGTCCTGGGGATCAAACTCGAATCCTTGCGCGGCAGGCACTGGAACCACTAAGTTAAATCCCCAGCCCCGGACTTAAATATTTGGAAAGCAGTTTACAAAATGTTTGATAAATAAAATAAGTAGTGGAGCATGATGATGCTCGCCCGTAATCTCAGCAGTCAGGGAGCTGAGACAGGAAGATCACAGGTTTGAGTCCAGTCTAGGAAGTTTAGTGATATCATGAGACCCTGAATCATGATTTTATTTTATTTTAATTATTTTATTTGCTTTGGGTTTTGGATTCTTGAGACAGGGTCTCCCTGTGTTGTCCAGGCTGGTCTTGAATTCACTATGTAGCCCAGGCTGGCTTGGAACTCATGTCGATCCTCCTGCCTTGGCCTCCAGAGTGCTGGGATTACAGGCGTGCACTACTATGCCCAGCTGTTGTCTCATAATTTTTAAAAAAGGCCTTGGGCCGGGTGTGGTGGCACACACCTGTAATCCCAGCACTCGGGAGGCTGAGGGAGGAGGATTGTTGTGAGTTCCAGGTCAGTCTCAACTACATAGTGAGACCCTGTCTCAAAACACCAAAAAAAAAAAAAAAAAAAAAAAGCCCTTGGTCTGTAACTCAGTGTGAAGGCCCTGCAGCTGGTCAGCTCAGGGAAATCTGTCCTTCTTTGTGGCCAGGACTGACAGAACTTTTTGGACTTGGGAATCCCCAGCTGTGGTTACACAGTCAGATTGCATGTGAGCATTTGCTCAAAAGCTTGTTTAAAACTCAGTTACTGATTGAATCTCAGGCCTGCATGAGGATTTAGTAGGTGCAGTCCAGGCCTTTGTTTTTCAGCTCCCCAAAGATGTGGATACGAAGACAAGTGTGACGCCCCAGCCCCCAGCCATCCTTTACTGGCTGTCACCCCACTGGATTTTTTTTTTACCTTTATACGCCTGTGTTATCACCTGTAAAGTGGGACACAGGAATTACTTTCTAGGTACTTTTTTTTTTGTTAGCAGTTTATTATTATAAGAACAGAGTGGATTGGGCCGGGGATTTAGCTCAGTGGTTCTACTGACTGCCCAGCAAGCACAAGGACCTGAATTCGATCCCTGATACCAAAAAAAAAAAAAAAAAGGAA